ACTACTATACCACTACTATACCACTAGCTACTACCTCTACCAAAAAACACCTTCAACCTGCAGCCTGCAGCGCGGAGAAGGGCGCCGGCATGGAACGCAAGGGCGAGCACGGTGGTACTGGATTGGGTTACATGGCGAAGCCTTCGTGCCAGGGAGGTCGTGATCGGCAGAGGGTGTGCATGATAAGCATATGTTTAAATCCGCAGCATGTCAGGCATTGCACTACTCAGATGCCCTCGAGAGCCTTCCCCAAACTGCTCGACAATCGGCTGTGTCACCGGTTGGAAAGTGCTCGGAACCTAAACCTAAGGCTGGGGGCTTGAGTTCGCCCCAGCTTGCCGAGCTCCAGACGAAGTGCTGCCCTCGATTTGCTTCCCATGAGCATAGAGTTTTGGGCCGTGGTCGTGAATTCGGCGAATTCGGCTACAGGTTCCTGCAGCAGCACCGCGCTCGATCGGAAGTTCGGAGATTCTTGAATGCTTGGTGCTGTTATCATGTGGGGTGGCACCAAAGGCGAGAGCTCTTGGTGGCAGCTATTCGGAAAGGTGCACAGGCAGAGGCCTGCCGGCACAACTGCAGCATCTTTGATTGACAGCCATTGGGAAACGTTGATTTGTCATGCTACTTCTGGAAGGAGAAGGCGGTCACAATGAAGGATGACTTGACAAGCTCGCAGCTCAGTCTCAGTGGGCTGCAGTCGGCTCGACTGGCAACTGAAGCCCGGCTTTTGCTTTCCTCTGCAGTGTTCACTTGTGCCTCTCACCCTAGGAGGCTTCAAAAATAGATTCCGAAAGGCTGCAGTAAATCCCAGGCGCAGACTGCATCACATGTGCTGTCCCTGATTCTCGACGAGGAAAGGACGTCATTATCTTCAACCTGAAGACGGAGATTTGCAGCCTCAAGAACGAGCAGCTCCACACTCAGCAGGACAGACTGCTATCCCCTATCAGATCTGCGAGTACCACGAACTTGCGCGGGAGGGCCTTTGTCTCCCTCGTGCGGAGGAGATCCAGAATCAGAACCAGCTTTTCGAAAGCCAGGTGCAACTGCTGCAGCGCATGTCTCAGCAGCCACGGCTGAGCGACATCTTCAGCTCAAGTGCATTGGAGAGAGTCTCCGGCACTGACACTACATCGCACCCCTGAGGCAGCAGCATCATGCACAGCAGCTGCAGCAGGCGCCCTCTGCCCCGCCTCTGTGCAGTCCTGGCTCGGCGTCTCTTGTCGGAGTACACAGGCGCAGCAATACCGCCAACTTGAAGCAATGTTGCGGGAGCCTTGGTTTCGTGTCACTGTTCGTCTTGTGAAAGTTTGGCACGGCGGAGGCATGCGCAGCTGAAGCCACCGGTCCTGGAGGTTCCCCTCTCAAGCATCCCATCCACTCCGATGTGCCGTGCTTCCTTGCTGAGGCTCCAGAGGGCCCTGCATCCCCTCCATCTCCCCACGAGGTGAGTTTACAGCCGGATCCCCAGAAGATGCCGTCATGATCGGCGCCAGCTCGAAAACCGAGAAGCTTCCAGGTGAGATGAGTTCCTTTCCGAGACTCCGGCGAATCCCTCCGGCGGTTTCTGGGCTCCGAGGGCCGTTCCGAGGGTGTCTCGCTGAACCAACATTGCCAACGCCCTGCAAGTAGTTGAATTCATATCTGCTCATGTGCATGCTCAGTGCTCTCCATCGGGTGAGTATACAGACTTCCATCAAGCAATATCAGCGGTAGTCGGGCTGGAAGAACCCAGGAGGCATAGAGCCAATGATTGCACTGTACGTATATCACAGCTTGCATCCGTGCGCGCTGACTGCCGGGCGTGCGGACGCTTCGTCGCCACAGCAGGTTCGCGCAAGCAGTGCTGCGTGATCCTTTTTCGGGCTTTGCGATTTTGCGGCCACATGGCCTCGTTTCATGGAGCCGTATCACCTCAACATGTCTGCTGTTTGGCTCACAAGCGATTAGGCTGACCTTAGAAAAAGCAACACGCAGCTTCAGCCAAGGCCAGAAACAGTGGCAGTGATACTCACACTAAGCCCTGCGCTGAAGATCAGCATGAGCTCCGTAGAGCATTACACAGTCCAGCAGCCGACGCCGGTCATAGCCAAAGCGAGGGAAGCCCCGGCGTGCGCTGTGCACAGTCCTCTCCCGCTGACTTCGGATTGGATGGCAGACTCCAGGGACAGCACGTTGCTGGCGCACCCTGGCCTTGACAAGGTCAAGTTCGTCCTACATTGTTGCTAGCGGGTGCTTTCTGGTCTCGGGTTTGGCGTTTGGTTGTGAGCCAAGGATCCGGCCAAGTTGTTGACTTCAGGGTGCGACCATTTTGGGTGGTTGACTTTTGGACCGGCAGCAAGTCCTTTGTCTGCTGAGCCTTTGCAGGAGTTCGACTCTTTCGCACCTGGAACACACCTGCAGTCTTCTGAGGCAATGAGCCATGCTCCAGATGAGGCCAATGTCTCACTGCACGCAGCTAGCAGCTACTCGTAGCAATGCAAGCGACGCTCCGAGCAAACTTGGAGCTCTAGGCTTGGACTGCACGCGGCAAGGACATGAAGCTTGACCGAATTTATTGAAGACTGCGCGTGGAAGTCAAGCTCAGAGCTTGCGCCCGAAGCTCTCAGTGCCAAGGCAGCCTCCGGCAGATGGCCGGGCCCGTTCTGCTCCCAAGTTTGCCACAGCGACATGCTGCGACCCCAGGCCAGTCCAACGACACAGAGGAGGGCTTACACCAGGAGGGGTTTGGCGGTCGAGTGTAGTCGCTCAGGATCGCTCACGGTTTGTATGCCAGGAGTTGATGGAACGGCAGGCTGTAATCCGGCGACAGCAAGGCGAAGCTGCCCAACATGAGAAAGTGAGGTTCAGCAGCTCAAGTCGAACCCCAGGCGAAAATTTCCTGTTGGCGACGCAGGCAGGATCCTAGTGGGGACTGCTAGTGGGGCCAGTTTGCTGTCAGAGGTAAAGCAGCTCGAGCAGCAGATCATGGATGCCAGCAAAGATGTGCTCCGACTGCATATACGCCTGGTTACTAGCAATTGCATACAGCCTATGGTGCACCTGGTGGAGTGATGCAAGGCTCAAGCATGTTCATCTCAGTCCCATCCCCAGATGTTCAGACAATACATGTTCCCGACTGGCCGAATAGTGCAGCACAAGCACTGTCCAGGCTGGCCCAGGTCCTGCAGCTCATGGACAGCACTGGTGGCCGGGTTCCGCTCAAGGGCGAGGCCACGAGAAGGTTAAGACAACGAGTGTTGGAAAGCATCAGAAGTGGGTCAAGTACGAGCAAACTCGTCTGGCTCTTGTACTTCGTTCAAGATGTTGTGTCTCACTTGTTGCATGCATCAACACAGTATCAGGCCTACGGAAACGGGCCGCTTCAAGCTCACTGCCAGGTCGACCGTGCGCGTGCGCTCGTGACCGCAGCCCGACGTGCGAGGCTCATTGTCCGGCCAGGGCGGCCTCTCTACGGATTTCGGGCCAAGGAACCATTCGCCGGGTTGCGTGCTGGTCAACTGACGATCGGGTCGAACTGCACGGCACCCGCAGAGACAGCACTCAGGCCTGGCACAAGCTACCTCAGCCTTTCGGAGTCTGAGTACGGTAGCACCGCCCAGGGGAGTGCCACACTGCCTGCCCCACACTCTCCGAACCCGTCGTCGCCTCGAAAGCTGGCTTCTCACTGCTCACGGCTCATGGCCAGCGCAGTTTGCGAAGGAATCCGGGTCCACAGCCTCAATCTGCCCGCAATGCTGCTGCCACAGACAGGCAAGGACTTGGAATCCAAGAGTAGTCCAACGGATGCTGTCACCCCGGGAAGGCGGCCGTCCCCTCACGGAAGACCACGGGCTGCTTTGAAGCAACTGGTACCAGCTTCCGATTGCCTGTCGGAGTGTGATCAGAAGCCTTGATCAGTCCCCGCGTGGTGATGTGCCTCCACAGCCCGGGATCTCAGCTCTGCTCAGCTCTGCTCCAGATTTCGAGTCCTTGCTTCTTCGCCTGCAGCTCAGACCTGACCTGAGGCTAGCTGCATCAGCAGTTGCTGCACTGGGAGAGGTGTCGATCTCGGAGTTCCCAAAACCATCTTCCGGGTCATCTAGTTATCTACTTCACTCTTTGCCCATACTGTAGAGATCTGCTGCAGTATCCGTCTCGTCACTTGGCAAGGCTGACGGCAAGCCGTACATGAACGGCACCCCTCCGGCAGCCGCAGGAAGCAATCGCCGTTTCAATGACCTTACCAGAGACTCGGAACGTCAGCTTGGGCCAGGATCTGCCACTAGATCCCTCTCCGAAGCACGGCTCGCCGGAAGGCAAGGAACGTAGTGGAAGCTAGCTGCTAGCGCCCCCGACTGTTGCATGATGTTGCAGGCCAAAAGCAGCAGCGAAGGACAGACAAACAGAGTGCCGAGTGCAGCATAACTCGCAAAATATGCGTCTTTTGACGGTCTCTGATACAAGGACAGGGGTAGACGAACTCGGGAGCGAGTTGATGCCTCAGATGTTTCGACACAGATGCAAGGGCATCGCACTGCAACGCAGGTGAACTCTGGAGGACATGCTGATGTGGAAAACGTTCGCAGCCAAATCAATTGGATTTGTGGGTTAGGATGGATTAGGCCTGTTGAAGGAGTGCATGCCACAACTCGTCGCTCAGGCAATCGCAGCAACAGGGGGTCAGGCCCCCATTGCTTGAGGTTCGCACCGTTCGGCCACCTGGAAGGCTTTGCATGTAACCTTCAAGAGCCTCGGAAGCTTGGTAGCGAGTGGAAACGAAGCTGATTCAGGGATGCAGCCATCTTCCATATCAATATGATGCCAAGCTACCATGACTTCGTCATGGATTGGCATCTAATACATCGACATTTCAAACCTCGGAGGAAGAGCGTTTTGTCATTTGCGAAAGATCAGACAAGTGCACTGGTCTGGTGGCATGCTAATGCAAAGCCGATGTGCGGCGGGGCCACATGTACCTCCAGGGAAGCTGCGGCTCGGCCGCATCGACAACTCTTGACCTTTGTGCGGCCTGAGATTTGGCTAACGAAAGCTAGCGATAAGACCGTGAGTCATCAGGTGCGAGCAGCTCACGCTATCCCCGATACTCCGAAGTGAGCGGGGCCGGTGCGCCCTGGACTCCTTGGAAGCAGGGACTTCAGCGATCGTGCCAGTGGCTCGCAGGCGTCTGCATGTCGTCTAGTGGGGGTGCATCAGAACTTCCGTTGCCTTCTGTATAGGAGCCACGCCAGTGGCGTTCGTGCTCGCCGCATCTTTGCGGAGGCTCGTTGCTGCTGAGTTGTGGGACGTGGGTTCATCGAATCGGACCCGAGCCCTCCCGTCGGAGGTCGGTGCGACGACGGCAGGGGAGTGAGCAGGCCGCTGTGTCAGTGTCAGCATCGTTTCTTCCGCCATCTTAGAGCGAGAGCAGTTTTCGAGCAAATGTGGGGGGCATTCTGAAGTCAAACAATGACCATAAAAAGATTACATGATATTACATATGATATTACATGACCATGAAACTCCTTTTTTTGTTTGATGCTGGGCTCCTTGGCGGGACTGAAAGTCTCGGCTCTGGGAGGCCGTGGCCGTGGCCGTGGAGGTGGAGGAGGACGGGCCGGGGCAGCAAAGGGAGACATCACCAGCTTATAGTCTCCATTGTAGTTCCTTTTTGGGGATACCCTATAAGATCCTTAGTATATATAACCTTAAAGTCTAATTATTAAGGCCCCTACATTAAGAAGCACCCTTAAGGGGCTCGGATACTCTCTGCTGGGATTTTTGAAGGGAAGGGCCATGTGGACATGGCCTGGAGGAGCTCACTGATGGGGACTACTGCTCGCTGGCACTGATCGACACCGATGAGGAGGACGCCCGAAAAAACGATGGCTTTCTTCGCCTCATGAGTTTCAAACGGAGAGCTGTTGGGTCGGGGCCCCTGAGGACCAGTGGAACAAAGTTTCTTTGGATTCAAACAAGCGCCTACGGGACACCAGCCTGGCGGTGTTTCAGCTGCACCTGCACTCCCCGCCACTCCTTGCCACAAGACGGGACGAGGTGATCAACTATGTCCTCCCGATTGTTGGGCCAGGAGTCGCGTTGCCTGGCGGCATCTCAGACCTGAGCAGCTGCATGCCGCCGCCTCCGCCGCCTCCGCCTCCGCCGCCTCCGCCTTTCTTCTCGGTGAGCTAGGTATTGGCAGTGGAGCAATATTTTACAGCTGTGCCTCGGCTCCAAAGTTTCCGGGAGACCGAGATTGCACGCGGCTCGGTCCGCTCGAAGCGACAAGTTCAGGACTCATCGAGTCTTGGGTGACGAGCGACAGCTCTTGGAGCTAATGCAGGCCTACGGTGCGGACCGATGAGATATTGCGTTCCGAATTTTCTGTGCGGTATTCACAGGTCACACTAACGCCGGCCACAAACGGCATCGTTCGTGACTCAGGGGCGGGCATATGAGTGCATGCCAGGTCGGAAGTCGCAAATGAACTTTCACGTCCCCCTAGGTCATTGCATCGCTGTCGATCGCTTTTGGCACGCTCACGTCGCTCACGATCTCCTCCCTGCGGCAACGGCAGAAGGAGATCCGGTACCTCGGTTCAAGTTTTTGGTAAGGGGTGTAGAGGCGAGTGCGATGTCTCATGAGCTGCCAAGCGCAAGCTCACAACATGTGATCTGGCTGCAGGCAATACCTGAACAAGGAGGTGCGAAAGACCAGCTTTTGTTCTGAGCTGTTGCTAAGCTTGCTGGATGCCCAGGCTTGCGAGATGCGGATTCTCCAGGCCGGTCATCACGGCCAGTTTATGGAGATTGTTGCTAGGATGTCGGTGTCTGCCGGAACTGGTTTGAAGGCCATGCTGCTGGCAAGTTATCGTCGGGAGACTCAATGTGGTCAATCTGTCAGATGAAGCGCAGCTAGCAAGTCTTTGACTTTGAAAGACAGCTAAAAGCCTCGTGTTCCGAAGGCCAAGCAGAAGCGCCGATTATGCGCGACGGTGGCATCCTCAACCAATTCGCCCAAGTCGAAGCAAAGGCTCTAATCAAGAAGTACCAACTGCAAAAGAGGCAATCAGCGTTTTGAGAAAACTAGGGTTAGGTTCAACGCCACATAGCGACAAGCCAACACAGGAATTAGGCGCGTGCAAACCCTGGTGACCTACCGAATCAATGCCCCCTCGCATTTGCGACTCGCCATGCAGTGCCCTTGACAGACTTTGGCTCTGCGAATCCCAGTTCTTGTCCAGGTCCTGGTGGAAATGCGCGGGAAGCCTTTATGTGCTTGCGCTGCCTGGAGCTGCTGAACTTGTATGCGGCACGCCCTGCCCCATTTGGTGGACCAACACCTGGGTGTGTACATGCAGGGCACTCCTTGTTTTGTTGCAAATTCGCAAGTGGGGCGGGAACCCCAAATGCATACGTACTGACATACTGTTGCTGGTACATGCATCACGCTTTTCGTGCTTTTCGTGAACAAGCTCCCTAAGGTCGCAGCCCATCGCTCACCTAATTAGAAAGAGTGACACGAAGCAGATCTCACCACGCATCCCAGGAGTTGTGCAAGAAGCGCCATCCCCACGTACATGTATGCATACATGCATGCTTGCATACTTATGTACTTACATACTTAAATACATGCGTGAAAACACCTACACACGCGCACATGTACATACGTGTATTGGTATGTACGTGTATATATACATTTCTGTGTGTGTATATATATATATATATATATGTGCATATAATATATATATATATAGGTACATGTGCCAAAATGTATATGTATATATGTAGATGTACATACCTTTCTATGTATGTCAGTCTGGCTGTCTGTCTGCCCGACTGCCTGCCTGCATGCACAGATGGATTGATGGATGGATGGTTTGCATGCGCAGGCGAGGGTCTACTCCGAGTCCACCTCCGAAGTGGACCTGAGCGCGCTGAAACGACAAATCGTGTCGGTCCCCGATGACAGAAGAAGATGAGAGTGACTAGAGTCTGCCTCAGAGGGCTCGCGGCCCTTTGTATCCTTCTGAGGCCAGACACAGAGATGCTTGGAATCCTCGACTATCTGTCCGTGGCCATGACATCCCCAACCTTTTCAGCGGCACCCTCGTCCATAGGCTATTCTGTGTGCTTGCAGAGGTTGCCGCCTCGTTTAGATTCAGCCTCTGAGGCCATGTCACTCCGTGACAACGTGGCGATGAGCGTGTCCAGGCTCAACGACTTCCGGTCCGAGCGCCTCTCCTCCATCAACACGGCGTGACCTGGCCAAAACGGAGACTCCCGGACATCTGAAAGTGACTCGACGGAGCTCAGGTTTCCGTTCCTGCATTGGGCCCGGGCCACAGCTCAAGCCATGGAAGAACGCTTTTTTTTCGAGATTCTCGTCGAGGTGATCCTAAGCCTGCTGGCCTCCTCCATCTCTATTTGCTTCCTTATCGAGGCGCCGTTGCACGTCTTAGGGGGCTCGCCTGCCATTGCTGAGGTGAGTGTTGCGCGAGTTGCAGTAGAGTAGAGGGCGCCTCCCGACTAGAACATCCAGAACATCTTTCGTGCGCTGCTTCATCTTGGGGCTGAGAAGGGGCCGAGGTTTTGCTTTACTGTCCAGGAGTATGCTCGTCTTGTCAGGTCCTTAGGTGCCCCAGGGGGCTGCTTTACCCTTCGGGGCAGGTGGACCAGTCCGAGGGGCGCTTCCTCGCAGAGCGCCCGGAGGATTCGACGCGAGCCTCGGCTGAAATGAAGCCGGGCCAGGAGCTGCCCAAAAAGCACTGAGATGCACTGAGAGCTGTAGCACTTCCCTGAGCTCCACTCCACACTACTGCAGCAACCAAGGTCTGCGGCTGGTGTTCACGATGTTGGTGGGATCTTTCTGCGGCCTCACGGCGCTCTGCGCAGATCTGAACGACCTTTTCCGGGGTGGAGTCCTTAACGGAGGCTGAGATGCTTGCGAATTTAGCCTCGGTCTTTCGATGCTGCACTGGCTGTCACGGCTGCACTGCGGAAGTTCCAGCACTTGGGTCACCTGCTCGCCTTACACTCGCGTGAAGGAGGTACAACACAGAGGCGCCGGTAAAGTAGCAGACCTAGCATTGGATCACAAAGCCTGACCCGGTTGGGGCACGCGCATGCGTTTGTATGAGGCGTTTGTGACTACAGCGCAGTAGTATACGGTAGCGGTTTCTCCACTCCGAAAATTTGCAGGCAGTACTCCTTTTAAATTTTGTTCCGATCTTCGAGATTTGTGTCTTTCAAGAGTTGGGAGATCCTTTCGTCAGCAGGCCCTTTTCAGGAACACGAACAGGCATGTGGCTTCCCTTCCGCAGAACTGAACGATGTCGGTTGGTTGATGCAACCGAGACCGCTGTAGTCGAAGCAGCTCATGCGACAATGCCGAGTTCGTCAACTCCCGGTCACTTGCCTTGATGCTCAGGCAGCTTCAACGTGAACGAGAGCGCTGTCCAAATGAGTGTGGTGCAGGAGGCCTCGAACAAGCCCAAGCAAAACGAAAGCACCTCTTGTACGGAAGATGCGCTTCCTTGTGGCATCTGTGTTTATTTGACAGGTCATCCGGCTTGAAAACAGCCACCTGCGCAAAGTCCTGGAGGCCATTTCATTCGGCTTGAGGCATAGGCTCCCATGACAGCATGTGGTGTGTGATATCGTTGAGATGCACTGAGATGGACATATACTGCATACACTACATCTCGAAATGGAGCGCAGGACCGCTGCCAGGGTTTGCAAGAGGCTCCCAAATGAGACGGTAGCAACATGCGCTTTTAAACTTGTCTCCAGATTAGCTTGTGGCCTGCCGCATCCAGATTTTCCGATGTATCACTGATGTACATACCTGTCCAGCCTAGCCCTAGCCTGGCACGTTTCACGCCGATTGGTGCAGACCCTTTTCAATTGATGAGATTTCGGTCGCTGGTCGAATGGTGAGTGCGGACATACCGTGGCATACCTGAAGATAGGTTCTGCTTTGATCAGATACAAGTTAAGAGGATTTGGTTGTGGTTAGTCCTTGGGTGCATCGTTAATTGCTGGTGGAAGATGGCGGGGCGGTGATGATCCCCGCGACGAGGGCCTGTTCATTCTAAGCTGCTGCCTAGGAAGTGATCAAGCACCTGCAGTCGCCTCAGCTTTTGCCCGAGGAGGCGCGCAGAATTTCTTCTGGGATTCCTCATAGTCCGAGGTCGACACGGGTGCTCTCTCTGCTCTGAGAGAAGAGCTTGCGGAGGCCGAGGGTTGGGAGAAGGTTAGGCGGGGCATCATCTTTGAATCTTTGTGTGTCGGGAAGGTTCAGCAGCACTTCGCGCGACAGCCGCTCACTCTACTAAAGCTTCCGTCGACAACACGAACCTACCACGCCCATGTTGCAAAGCTCTCAGGCGCGAACTCCTGGTGAGGGCAGTGCGCAGAGGTGCTCAACTTGAGGCCAGAAGATGCCTCCCAATGCCATTGCTTTTGCATTGAGATTTCGGGCTTGGGCCAGGAAGCTCTCAGCACGTCGAAGGACGAAACTACCAGGAAGGACGACTCAGCCTTACATCAGCTTACATGCGTACCAGGAAAAGCGAGCAGGGAGAAACATGGGCTGATGTTCCCGAGGTGATAATCTACAACCTGCGGCAGGAGATGTCAGGTGGCTTGAGCGGATGACCCATGACCCCCAGTACCCACCAGTGACCCAAGCTCATACCCTGCCAAAACATTTTGGTGACCTTGAGTTCCCGAGGTGTGCAGCAGGAGCTCAAGCAGCCGGCTGCCTCAGAGCTGTTTGCAACCTTCGCTAAAAGTGTGGATCCGCCGGATCCGAGGACGCAGGGGCAGTTTGAGTCGCACGTGAACCAGTTGCAGCAGCAACATCTACAGCAGCTTCAGCAGCAGGCCGCTTGGGATTGGCTCTGCTCGCTGCCTCCATTCCAGCTGTCGCGACTGTCAACAGAGTCTCGGGTCAAGTGTTGGTGGAGCCCAGCAGGCCTGCCAGATTCAAGAGCTGCAGCTCCTGCAGATCCAGCGCCTGCGGCACTGGCTTGTGTTTGCAGTGCACAGCGACGCAACCACTGTCGACCTCTTACGGCCACACCATGAGCAGCGCTAGACTCAAGAACCTGCCGTTGTCAACATTAAGCTCATTGATTCGGATGACGACCCGGCAGACAGAGATTCTCATAAGACGTGATGCAAGTCCGACCAGCACATTGCTGGCAGCTCTTTAGGTAGGCATCTATAGCTTTGATGGCAGGCAGCAGGCGGCACATTCTGAGCCAGAGACAACCCTCGATGCGATGGACTGAGTGCAGATCTTCAGACATCTGCTCGTAGACTGCTGTAGGCTTTGTTCTTCGCCCGGTAAGGGTGAGACTGGCTACGTAAAAACCAGCTACACACCTCATATCATTACATAGTCATTTCCTACGTAAAGGGCATCCCAGCTCTGCTCGAGGCTTCTTTGCTCCAGCGTGCTCCATCCTTCGGTTCGAGGCAGTTGCTGACACTTACCAGACTTAAGCCACATATCGGATGTATCTCTAACCGCACAGGCCTCCAGAGACCACAACGCCTGGCTGCCCCGTTTGTCTGGGTGAACCGAGCCCCTTCTGGAACTCAAGTCGCTCAACCCTGATTCTGGCAGGCCAGAAGCTTGAGCCAAGCCCACTCGGAGCAGACGCCAAAGTGCCTCACGGCGTCGCAGTGCGGGCAAAAAGGATAGGGCTTTTGGAGGCAAAGAGGAAGAGATAAAAGTCAGCAGCAAGACAAGGCAGGACCAGAAGGCGCGGAAGAACTCTCCTGGCAAGCACTGTGTGCTGATCTACTGCAGCAAGCTACGTTTCCAGAGCATCAAGGGCAGAGAAAAAATGGGCTTCATTCTGGTTTTGTAGAGTCGGTTTGGTTGAACCCGGGGTGCCACAGCAAAACCTGAAAAGCGCCTGCGCGAGCTTTGTATCTGTTTGGCTTGCTGCCGAGATGTCAGGCTACTGGGCTTCCGCACAAAAAGCAAGCCACGATGTGACATCAAAGGCCAAAGCACACGTGAACAAGAAGAGAACGTGGATGGAGCTTGAATGAGCACAGGAGTTTCGAGCTAAGGTATTTCAGAGATTCAGCTTTGCGTTTAGGTGCAAAGCCTTCCATGGCAGATTCTCTGCAAGCGAGTTTGGTTCGTTTCGGCGGTGAGAGGCACGGCGGGCGAGCCGAGAAGGGGGACGAAGATACGACCTGAGACCTGAGGCTAGCTTTCATTATGATCTTTTATAGTGTACTATCTGATATATGTTCTATTCTGTTCTGTCTTGTACTGTACTGTATTGTACAGTCATGTCGCGTATTGCATTGAATGCATGGGCTCTCAGTCTTTCGGAAGCTTTGATCACGATTTGGAGCGGCAGCTGTCGAAATTGCACGATCCTTGTAAGCACAGCAGCAAACGCCCCAGCTTAGCCGATGCACTGAAATGGAGCCCAACGTGCTTTGCATGAGCACAGCGGACCGGCTCGCGCAAGCGCGCTCGCGCTCACGCTCACCCCTGAACTGCGAGACAAAGGAGGCCCGTGATAAGAAAAATGCGGGTCGCGTAGGGATCAAAAGGAGAGTTGCGCTTCCGACCAGGATCTGCTGACCGCTCCAGTGCTTTGCTGCGCACTTTGGCCTAACTTTGTTCATGTTACCGAGTTCACGATTCGACATGATTCCACTCGCAGTTCCTTGCGGTGTGAGGTAATCCTCGGAGGGCCTGGAAGTGGCAAGTCACTTCTCGGGAGGAGCCTGCAGCCGCTCGGAACCAGAACACTTTCGTAACAGGTGGGGGGCTGAGGGCACTCAAGTTCATTTTTCCGAGGCAGCGCTTTCCTGGCTTTCTTGGCATTTCCTGCGGGGATCTCGCTCGCCGGCTAACTTTTTGTGACAAGTCACCTTTCCTGAATTCAGTGGCCAAGCAGCTCAAAGACAGGCGCCGACGGAAGAAAGCTTTTGGGCGTGTCACAGAAATTGTGATCAAAGTCGTCGCCCGGGCTGTCTCCTCTGGAGCCTTCTGGGGGATCATAGTGGATGGCTTAAGGGACCACGAGTTACCAGATTTCGAGTCTGCCCTGGGATCCCGGTACACTGTGCTGGCGCACCTCTCCTGTCCCTCAGATGTGATGTTGTCACGTCTCAGCTCACGGCAGGATCGGGAAGGAGACGACCGGTTGGGTTTGGCAGAGACAGACAACTCGGGGCGTGTGCAAACCTATCTGGAGCGGGCGACCGAAGAGACAAAGAATCTCAGGGCCTATGCAGAGGCTACTCCCTCGCGAGCCTTCTTCGACCTGGATGCAACGCTTCAGGCCCCGTCCTTGGTGGAGGACATGGTCGCTCGCCTGAAGGCCTTCGCCAAGTCCAACGGGTTTTCCCTGGATGCGCAGACTGCGCAGACAGATACCGCGTCCGTAGATTGGGAGTTGCACATATTGGAGGTTGCTAGCCGGCTTGATCGGGAGTTTCATCCAGATGGAAAGCCCCGTAGCAAGCACAACGAAGCTGGGTGTGAAAAGGATAGACCGAAGGCTTCGCTCGCAGAACCTTCGCTCGTGGCTGTTAGCTTCGTCAACTCGCTGGGTCGGTCATCTCTTAAGGCAATGCGCCACCGATATCTTGGCTCAGTATGTAGCTGGAACAACCGGCAAAGTGGGCCACAGGGGCCTACAAGCAGCCTGCAGCAGGTGCGAAAGCGGTGAGCCAGGGGTTTCGTACTCTAATGTCTCCTCGTCGTCTGCAGGCTGCACCATCGGGAGCTCCCAAGACCAGGTGGGTCGTATTCCTGATCCCAGTCTACTCGTGTTCGATCGCGTTCGATGGCGATTTACGTCGACTTGCCCGGACGTGAATGTGTTGCTGTTAGAGGGAAGATGCTTGAGCGCTGTCACTCCTGCAGGATGGCTGTCTACTTCGCTCCGACCTCGGCAGTGCAGATATCAGGTCTCTGTTTCCGGCTATGTGGGGTTACGGACACTTACTGATCCTTTTCGCCTTGCAACGCGGGCTCGTCCTTGCTCAGTTTTTTGTAAGTAGGAGTAGGGGTAGGAGGCCAAAACGATCCTGTTCAGGGTCCTCGGGTTCTCGAGTCCAGTGACAGAGCTTGCGCTGATCCATGTTTCTTTTCTGAAAGATGCCCCGCTGATGCTCAAGCTGCTCGGATTTCAGAGCAGCACGAGAGGTTTATCCACATTGCCGGAAGTTTGAAGGCTCAGGGCTTAGGATCAAAGTCTCACCGCAGATGGAGCAGCCATTGCTGCCAGGTGCGCGCAGTTGGATGCCGTTGGGATATGGAGGGCAGAATGGCCGGAGCCTTTCGCAATCTTACCTTGATCATGATGAAGGTTCTGGTTCTGTACGAGCCATGAGAATCCAGAAGCCATCTTGTCGCCCCGAATAATCGAATAAGATCAAGGGGCATTGCTGTGAGCTTTTGGCAAGGGCTCCGTCCATGTTCGCTACAAGGATCGAGAATGAACTAACATTTTGCAAACTACGGTATCTTCGTGAAGGAGCCGAAGTCTTGAGATCTTGCATTAAGCCTTTCGCACTTTTCACAAGGGACGAGATGCCTACAGATGCTTTGCATCATAGTGAATCGTCAAGTCGGTAAGACGTGCGTTGTGTCGCTGCAAAACGTTGTGCCTGTACCTCCCCTTCTCCACATAACCTGGATCCAAGAAGGCAGGCGTTGAAATTCCCGTTCTGCTGATGCAGGCAAGAAAAAGGGCGTGCGAAAGAGGCCGGGTGATTGAATCGCAGGCTTCCTGGAGAAAAGTGGTTGTTGCTGTTACTTCCGAGGACGAAAGACGACTTCAAAGCCAAACTTCCTCTCGTGCTGCGGTATCCAAAGCTCTTCAATTTGTGACACGTACGCAAGTCAGGGCTTTGAAGCTGAGATGCTTAGTCCCTCGAGCACAGAGCACCAGCCCATCGTTTTTGGCGCAGGTTCTGTGTGGCGGTGTACTTTGCTGTCGGCTTCGTGGTGCTCTCTTCACAGGAAGACTGGGAGCCGTCGACTGTTCTGTACGTCGTCGCGCAAATTGTGACAACCATTGGCCAGGGCCCCGGGAGGAACGGGCGGGATCCGTTTTTGGAATCCCCCATTGCAGGCTACGGCGATGTGACAGTCCACCATGGAGGAAAAGTGTTTATGACGCTCTACGTGCTGCTGGGGATACTGCTTGTGGCAGATGCCATAAACAACTTCTTTGACACCGTGTGCCCGAGCGAAAGCTTCAACGGCTTCGCTTTGCTTAGGTTGTGTTTTTGAAGAAGTTGACGGCCCCCTCTATCAACGGCGAATGCGAGATCTGAGGCTCGACAAGGCCGAGACCGAGCTTGAGGACGTGATGAAGAACGTTGAGTCGGCGGTTGGCGGGACATCGCCAGACCCTTTCAGGGGTCCGACTCCGAGGTGCCCTTTTTGTGGTGCTGTGGTGGTGCGGTGTGCGCATGACACCCTGCGAAGCCTTGCAAGGCAACAGGCATGGCTTGATCTGACGATAGCTGCGGTGACCTATGCGGTCTCGGTGCTCATCTGGGTCGCATTCTTCTCCACCTACGCCACTTGTACCGCTAATCGTGTCGGGCCCGAGGCCTTTGTAGCTCTCTTTTTCCATGCATCGAGGAAAGCTGCACTTGCGTCGTTGGTGGTCAGCACCTGCCGGGCTGCGTGGAAGATGATTGCGAAGCGACCGGAGGCCAGATCCTCACCGCCGTAGACGCGACATACATGGTGCCTGGCCTTATACTGGCACCAAGGACTTCTGCAGGCTCTGCCCCCGATTACGTTTGCATAGGCCTTAAGAGTAGGATCCCAAGCCCCTGTGACAGCTGACTGAGGCAGTCATAACATTCTCCACGGTTGGCTTTGGCGATTTCACTCCATCAACCTACCTGGGTCGAATCCTGGGCTCTGTTTGGATGGTGATGGGAACGCTGGCCTTCGCCAACTTGGCAACTTGCAGCATTCCATAACCCTTTTTGGAGCGAGTTGCCGTCTACTCTGTTGGCCACCAAAATCGAGCGCTGTTTGAGAGTCGGCTGTGAGTCAGTTCAGGGCATGCAATACAAGCAGGATGTTCGTGTTTCGGGTGCAAGGCTTTGGTACACTCCCAGCAGTGGCCCCACTGTGACTTGTAACACACCGCCCAATTAGACTTAGAACCTAGAATTCCCAGTCAGGGGCCTTTCATGTGCCCGGAGCCTTGCAGCCAGGTTGGAGCGGTATCCAAAGTCCTGCGTGGAAAACGCAGGGAGTATTTCAAGAAGTGCGTGGTAACACGAGATATGTTCAAGATCATTGACGAGGACGGCCTATGATTAGGGACATGCCTGTCTCATCAGGCTCAGCATGTACTGGTACGGCCACGGGAGCCGCCCAGCAGGACGGTTCTGGTAAAATCGATCGTCTGGAGTTCCATAATTGGATTCTGGTCAGAGAGGGCAAGGCGGGATCTGAATGCCCAAGACGTGTGTTTCTTCCACACTAGAGTTGCAAGCTCATGCGTTTGGGAACACACTGGTGTCCTACTGTACCGAAGGTCGCTCGCGAAACGCTGGAGCAGATAGACAAGCTTTTCGACTCTCTGGATGCTCGACTGGTGCTTGATTGGGGCCACTGGGCCACGCCGTTCGTAAGGCATGCGTGGGAGCTCTTTGATTCTCAGGACAGGGACGGCAGTGGCAGACTGACCTTCGACGAAATCAACGACAAGTTCGAGAAAGCCGAGCAAAGACTGTCTGAGAGACAGAGATAAGCCCTCGTCGGACCCTCTTGCTGCTTTACACAAAGCACTCCGAAATCGATTTTAGGCTCCCTGCCCGGGAAAGGTTTCACCTTACGCTAGTCTGGCCGCGTATTCAACGCAAAATGGAGAGAGGCCCTGTCCATTGCGACCTGCACAGGTCGCGAGAATCTCGTGAGGGGGGAAGGGGGGGGGAGTTGCAGACCGCGACCATGTTTCTGAAACGAGCCGAGGATCCGGCACCCAACACTAGGTTTTCCTGGGCCAAGGCCCTTTCGCGCGGCTGCTTCCTTCCGGAACAGTAGGATCTCGTCTTATCTCGTCTGGGCCAGGACAGCTCTGGCGGCATCTGGGACGACTCGGAAGGCTCTGGGCTTTGGCTCTCGGGAGCTGAAAGGAGCCATGGGGGGAACTGGGGGGAAGGTCTCTCGGACCCATGGTCCATGTGGGGCACCAAGCCATACTGGGGCTCCAAGCAGTGGGGGGCCCAAATCGTCCAGCGATTCAGCCGTCCATTGCAGGCTTTTCCAGCTGGCAGAGAAACTTAGGTCAGAGAGCATCTCAATGCCAGCTTCACTTCGACAACTCAGCAATTGGAGGCACTGGGTGACGTTGCGTTCGCCGTCCTTTGCCGCTCGCACTGCCATCCTCATTCACACCCTGGGTGATTGAGGTGGGATTCTAAATTCACGGCTTTCGGCGAGTATTCCGAGCAATCGGAGTCTGTGCCTCAAAGCACCAGGGCAGAAAGTGTCTTCTCTCGGCATCTTGTAGCATGGAGTCGGATTCTGAGGTATTCAAGTGACTGGAGCCAGGAGCAGGCCGCGGTGTCTGCCTTGATTGCTGACATTAGCGGCATGGAAGGTCTCAGTTTGGCAGGTGCTGTCCACGAACATCCAGCGAAGCCCGAACCAGCCTTGGCAGACCGGCATGACCATGCCGGGAGCTCGCGGGAGGGGCAGCGAGGGAGAGAGAGAGAGAGAGAGAGAGAGAGAGAGAGAGGGAGAGAGAGAGCAGCTCGGCTTTGCGGCTCCGAGCTTCCAGCTTTCCGGAGGTTCGCTTCGCTGCCTTCCGAGCCTCGAGAAATCCTGGCCGGAGCCCCGGGACTTCGGGGAGCCTCTTCTCTCGACCTCGTAGCTGATTGGCCACAGAGTTTTCGGTCAGGTGGTGAACAGCAAAAGCAGTGGATCCTACGTCAGCCACTTAAGTCTCTGATGTCTCATCGCAGCAGGGGCAACTCGCAGCCTCTCGTGATACATGCGCTTGAGCAGGAATCCCTTTGTCGGGACTCTCAAACAGCCGACGTTGTGGCCTTCGATTCGGAGTCTGCCGCTCAAACATATGATGTCAACCCGTCTCGCTTATGCAAATGCGGACAGGTGGGTGCCGGACTTCGGATACGGCTCAGACAACCCCATCTCGGTCTTGCAGCTGGTGCACGCCTCATCGGGAGCATTTGAGTTGACGTCGTTTTGCATTGCACTTTCGCGCTTTCCTCATGTCTTGCTTGTGAGGCATTTCCATCTTCACAACGAGCCCCAGCCCTTGCATGGAAGGAAGGTTGTGCGGTATGCTATATGGTGTGGACGGGCGCACCGTCATTCCATGCTTCACAGCTATGCGCCGCGAGTTCACAGAGAGTAAGTTGGCTAGACCGCCAAATAATGTGGGATCTGCGTCCAGCTCAGGTCTATGTGGTGCAGCTCGGCCCTTTGGGCAAGAAGCTTCCGCAGGCCTAGCAAACCTTCCAAAGCCTAGCGCCCAGTCTAAGAGACATGCGCTCACACACACACACACATGCGATACTTGTATAGACTACTTAGCACACATCTGTCCCTTCAGCCTGACATTGATCGCATCTTGGCGGCGCAACAACACAACAAATGGGCTCTTGGAGCATGCACATGACAGGAAGTTCAGCTCATGCTCGTCAACCCAGATGCAGGCATCTCAGCTTCTCGCAAAGGTGCAGAGAGGCACCAGAGGGGCTCAGAGAGGGACAGTCTCGTTACACAACCAAAGCAGAACTGGAGACTCCCAGAGCTTCTGGTGAAGGCTCGCACTGTGCTGAGGTGCTGAAAGCGGGCTTCGCGGTGAATTCTAAGGCGCTGTAAAGTCGTGCTTTCCTACTCGGCTTTCTTGATTCGGATTGACGACAAGCACAGGGGTCTGAGGTCTGTCCGAAGGAGGAAACGCTGCCCAGAGCAGTGCATCGAGAGAGACAGTCTCCCTCCTCGGGGTTTTTGCGACTGCGATTTCATAACCTAGTGGATGGCGAGGGGCCGCATACATGCTGCAACTTACTTGCATCGCCCAGTTTCTCGTAGCCGTCGCAGTGCTACGACCTATGGCATTCGGCTCCTGGAGAAGTCCTCAGAGTATCTGCTTCACCCTGCATCGGAAGTTCAGGATGCCCAGAAGCTGATGCGAACGGGCATTGCTGTAACACAGGCTGGTGGGGCTCGGTGCTTTTCCTAAACTGTTTCACTGATCATGAGCTGAGTCTGCTACCGGCTTGTCAGCTCGGAACACGCTTTCTATCTTGGCAGGGCTCTGTTGTGGATGTACAGGAGACGTCCTCACCTGAGAGAAATTTCCTGGACTGGTTCTGCAATGCCACCGTCACGGATGAATCCCAGGTGTGCCAGTCGAATGGGCTTGGCATGGGGATCTGAGCAGCGGGCGCCTCAGGATCAGGAAGTGAGAGTTCGTCTTCTCGGCCGAGGCTGTTGAGGAATCGGTGCAGAGAACCCGCAGCATGATGTATATGATATAGCATATATGACATATATGGTGTCCGACCCATGACGGTACAACCACACCAGTCTGCAGGCTATGGTTTATTGTGAGAAGTTGGCAGCCTACAGATGGCTCCTTGACGAGACCCCTCAGCCAAGCGGCATTTAATTGGACTATATCTGCAACCTACAGCCTTTATGCAGAGTGGACTGCTTCAGAGACGGTGGAACATCTCGTGTCTTAGGTCTCTGAGTCTGCGGCGCGCTGCCAGCACTCTCCTCCGCTGTGAGCTTCTGAAGGAAAGTAGCGGGGCTCTGGTTCGACAGTTGCCTACGAAGCCCCCGTGAATGCCATGCGCAGAGCCCACCAACGCCTTGAGTGAGGTCCCGCATGGAGTCTGACCAAGCACTTGCAGGGAGCGAGGTTATGAGGCTCCACCCCGAATGTCTCGCTGCAGGACAAGAGATGTGCCTGCTCGGATTGGTCCAGCGAGCATTTGACGTGCGGGCCTGCAAGCGGACAAGAGCTGGGGGTGCAGAATGCAAGTTTCGAAATCTGCCGAGCTGCGCCTGTGCATCGAACAAGAGTCAAACGACCCAAACCATTCCAGACAGTGGCGCTTTCGATGCAACAGGGTGCTGCTGGCCGTCAAATCCCTGTATACGTCCCGCAGTGTCAAGTGATAACAACACGCCTTCCATGATATTGTCCTTCAATCGTTCTTGTTCTTCTGGTCCTTGTTCTTCTTGTTGCGGCGTCGCCGTCCCTGTTGATTGTTTGCTGCTTTTTCTATTTGCAACCCCTGTCGCCGTCATCGTGATTGCATGGGTTCTGAGGCCGGAACAAGTCCACTACGCAGCAGCCGGCTGAGTTGGTTTTGGTGGCGCTTAGTGACAAAGGGTCAATAAGCAGTCATGGACAAACTTCGCATGGCACGAGGGACGCGTGTTGAAGCTGAAGACATCCTTCAGTGGCCAAGACTTCGAAGTCAACTTTCGGAACACCGGTTCTCTGACAGGCAAGAGAGGTCATGTGGACACTACGCCCGCCTTAGGCCCTCGATGCGTGGGTGGCACTTCGCTTGTGCTCTTCTCAGTTGCAGTCGGTAAAGTGCGGTCCTAGCCAAGTTGTTGATTTATTTTCCCACTGGACCCTAAGATACTGGCCAGCCTGAATGCAGGGGCAACAGTCGTTTGCCCACTGGACACTGAGACACTGGCCAACCTGAATGAAGGTGCAACAGTTATTTGCCCACTGGACCCTGTGACACTGGCCAACCTGATGACAGCAATCCAGGGGCAACAGTGCGCCCAAAACCGTAACCTGACCCACAAGGTACTATCTGCTTCACTGAGCAGGCGGCCAGCAGCAAACGCTGGAAACTCGGGATGTCTCGATTGAATGCCTCAGAGTGAGAAAATTGTCAGGGCCCTGGCCCAAGCTCGAAAGTGGGAGCGGTGGTTGTAGCAACAGTAAAGGTCTCGGCCCTGTCAGTAGGCCAGCAGGCCTTTCTGCTGCTGTTCTCCAGTCGTCCTCACAGCTGGGAGGGTCGTGTGGATGTGGGAGCCAAGCTGAGGCAGCTGCGACCGCGTGCGAGAAGCTGTACCGAAATCATGTTGCATGGTTGTACAATGCACAAAAGGACAACGAACGGCGGCTTCCCTGAAGTGGGAATGCCATTGGCCAGCTTAGCGGGTCGAATTCAGCTGCTTGGCACCTTCTTCTTTTCGTCATTGCACATCATGCTCTTATCTCTGATTTGTGAAGGGCGATGTGGTGTCAGGCTTCCTGATGTAGCAGGACATGACTTGCAGTGAAGGCAAGCAGTGCCAGCCGCACCTCGCAGCAACACACGCTACGATTAGGCCTCCTATAGGCCAACATGGAAAGCCTTGGAAGAGGAGATTGTTCTGTAGGCCAGGGCAGCGGCGCATCTGTGCCTTCTTCAATTGTACAGCACGTTGCCTTTCACCGCTGGTTTGCCTTTTGTGAGGAAGCAGCTGCTGAGATTGTTTGGCCGGTGGAAACTAAACCGGTGGGAGGTGGTAGGAGATACGGCTTGAGATGTCGTCGCTATTGCATTCCTGCGCAGACTCGGCTAGGACCTATAGGATGCTTTAATCTCCACGGTTTCTGTCACCATCTCCATACCACTCCTTGGAGGCGTGGCTTGGCAAGCCGCCGTTCGCAAAAAACACTTTGGTGAATTTGCTTGCAACTTGCCCGTTCCGATCCGTGTGGCTTTTTTCCATGGCCACTGAATGTTTAAGTCGCTGTAGGACGATTGCCAGATGCTGTCGGCCAACAGCACTGGCTCTTCAGCACGTTACTCCCTTATCAAGTTTATTCAGGCGGTTTGCGCTTGCGTCAGGAAGGGCCCGTATACTTTTGCCGGTCGGCCAGCTGCTACTGTAGGTGCTGAAGAGACGCCACTTGTCCAGTACAGCATCTGCGTGAGACCACGCGCGGCGAATACGCTCTGAAGGGGTCGAGCTGGCCAGCTCCCCATCTTTGACGCCCATGCCAATATTCGTACTCTTAGCAGCTCCATTGGAACTGTGCCTGCACTGGGGTTTTGATCCGTGTGCGGGTGAGGCTTTCCAAGTCTCGAAACGGCTAAGGCCAGCTCTTGCTGGATCATGATCCTTCCTACCCTCGTTTCGTGTAGTGGTAAATGGCTGTTGCTCTAGATGTTTGCATGCCCTAGCCCTAGTTGTTTCGAGACCGAGCGCTTGGAAAGAACCCTGGTAGCAGCTGGCAGCCATTGCACGTGGCAGCCTTGCTAGCAGAGGCCAACGCAATGAAAAATGACGGACAGACTCCGCGATCGCACTTTGTAAAAAAGGCAGACCCCTTCTTGCATTCTTGCCTCCAAGATTCCAGGAGGAAAGCTTTGAAGCGTTCTAGTTCGGCAGCACGCGGATCCTTCGGACAGGCGAGCCCGATACCCGGGGATTACAGGAGAGGAAGTATTCTCACACCCCGTACAAGTGCCACCCGGCTAAGGCAGTGAAGCCCCGTGCATGTCCTGCACCTCCGCTGGAGTTATCTAGTCAGGCCTCGGCATTTCACGTGTTTGGTCGTGATATGGATTCCCGTGCAGTGTTGGCCCAGCCTCGAGTCCCATTCTGGCAGATCCTGGTCTTGGGAGGTTTTCGGGTTTCGAGCATGCCCCCAGGTGCCAGCTGCCAGCCTCGTCTCCCGCTTCCCCTACCGATGTCTGAATGTAGCGCATGAGTGAACACTTGAATCAAACTCCGACGTCTCGGCTCCAGATCATGTTTGCAAGAGCTCTGGCGTTTGGGGGGGAGGCATGGGCATTTGTGGCTCTGCTGGCACTGGGGCCAGTGCATGGGAGGAGCCTGGCCGATTTGAGAAGCCCAATCCTTTAGGCTTTGGGCGTCGCGTGGTGCACACTGACATAAGTGGAGTGTCCTCCCTGGGAACAGTGAAAGAAATACATCCAGATGGCAGTCTGGCCGTCCTTCTTGATGCCGGCGGCCAGGAGGTTAAGATTTCTGCAGACAGCATCCATCTTCTGCCGCTGGCCACATATTGTCCGACCTCGTATTCGACGAGGATCGGGCTTGAGACCTTGGATGAGAGGAGGACCCTGCGATGGGTTGACATCGGGAGACGGGCTCTAACCCGCCTTGAAGCCATGCCTTCAGAAGGCAGTGGTCGGTGGTGGAAGGCATACCGATGCGTGTGGAGCACGAAGAGTGCATGCTACCTGTACCACGCGTCTGGCGAGCCCCTGCGTGGTGGCCTGCAAAGAGCACCGGAGGGAGCGCTCACGCTGCCGCCCGAAGGTGGGCCAGCCGACATGCTTCAAGCAGTGCCTCAAGAGTTCCAGTCTTTTCTGACTGGCTGGACCGGCGAGTTTGCACGGCTTGTGTTTGAGCATTGCCACCACAAGTACTCGGAGAACATTCCATGCGGCTTGCTCTTGCACATGGCTCGACAGAGCCGGGAGCTGTTCCTCGCCGAAAAGACGGTGCAGCGGATCCAGACCCCCCGGGATGGGAAGCTGGTGATCTTTGGAGACACCCATGGCCATCTCAAGGACTTGCTTCATGTTTGGCTGCGGGAAGGCTTGCCGACTGCCTCCAAAACCCATTATCTCTTCAATGGTGACATTTGCGACAGAGGCGCGCTGGGGCCCAGGGTGTAAAGAGTAAATATGGGGAGGGGGGGTCCGTGCCTGGAGACCAGCAGAAGGCGTCATAGGGCCTTATGGGCCTTATGGGTGTTGTGCAGGAGACGCCGCAGATCGTGGTGGCATGGAGGCAGTTCAGATATGGGCCTGTGTCCTGAGCCACAAGCTCGCCTTTCCTGGAGCCGTGCATATGAACCGCGGCAACCACGAAGATCACCACTACTCTTTGCACTACGGTGCCAAGGGTTTCTATGGTGAGCTCGATCGCAGGTACACCGCCGACGAGGCAAAGGCTCTCAAGGCAGCGTTCAAGGATCTATGTGACTGCCTTCCGCTGATGACCGTGGTCGACGAGGCCATGCTGGTTGTGCACGGGGGCCTTCCGCGCTTCCGGCAATCCTCGGCCAACGCTGCCAGCCTCGATGAGATCGAGCAGATCCGACGGCCTCTGCAGGTTCAGACGCATGCCGAGAACCGCCAGGACAGGATATAACGAGTAAGCTAAGTAACGAAAGCAAGCCTCAAGAGAGTTTCTCCAAGCCTGACCTTTTCAAGAGCAGCTGCATGGCGAAGCTTCGGATAAAGAACCCGCCTCGTGTCAGAGAGGACCAGATCATCACGGATCTGTTATGGTCTGATCCCCAAGCAGAGCCTGGCATCGGGCCGAGCAGCCGTGGCAAAAGCCTCATCAACTACGGCCCAGACGTAGCAGCGGAATTCTTGGCGGCTCACGAGCTAAGCCTGCTGGTGCGGTCGCATGAAGTCGCCAGTGGCTGCGAGTGGTGGCACCCCGTGGCATCCCAGGGCTCGGAAGGAAAGGTTGAGCCCCTCTCTTCTGAGCAGAAGGGCCTCACTGTCACCATCTTCTCTGCAAGTGACTACTGTGGGCACTATGACACCAATCTGGGTGGCACGATCGTGTTGAAGGGTTCAGCGAAGAGTTTTAAGGTTGTGAGCCACAAGGCTTCGGATGCTGCAGCAACTCTAGCATCGACAGTCGCCACAGAGAAAATTAATGGCTCTGTCCTGGAGATTCTGAGTGTTATCGTCCAAAACAAAGGGCAGCTGCTTACTGAGTTTCGGGCTTTTGATGACAGTTCACGACTAATGCTCTCCAGAGAGGAGTTCGCCGCTTGCTGCAGCCGAGTTGTGCCAGAATTGCAGTGGCAGGACATCTGCACAGACTACTCGCCTCACTTGCTTCTCCACAACGGTTCCATCTGCTACATGCGGCTTCTTTCCAAGTATTGTCTGGTCTTTCGCAGCAGGGGCCAAGACAAAATGAGGATGGCCTTTGGAAACTGCTTGTTTGGGTCCTTGCTGTGCATGGAGCCCTCCATACGCGAGCAGCAGGAGAGCATGGGAGACATGACGTCGGAAGCGTTCCTAACTTTCCTTGCCGACAGTGGTTGTTGCACTTCGGTGAGGCTGTTGCAAATGTTTTACAGGTCCCTGGCCTGCGGCAAAGATATGCTTCAGAACTTTGCGGGGACATTTTCTGTCGCGTTCAGGCCGAAGCACGGCACGTCGACCGAGGTTGCCAGCAGATTGGGTGCCGTGTGTCGCGACCTCCTCGCTGCCCATCCAGAGAAGCCTCTCGCGACCCTGCTGTTGGACTTCTTTCAGCAAGCGGATGACAAGAAGTCTGGCTTCGTGGAGGTGCAAGAGGTGGCGTCTTTGCTTCGAGGGCTACCGAGCCTGAAGAAGGCTGCCGAGAATGAAGTGCAGCTTCTGGCCGAGTACATGGACAACAGCGGTAGCGGCAAGATCAGATACGTTGAGCTCGTGAAGTGCCTTTCCATAGAGACCCGCGGAGCTGCGAAGCCTGGGCAGCTGTCACCAGAAGTTCTGCTGGATGACTGGCTCGAGGCCACGTTCTGTCCTTAGCTGGGGCTTTAGTGCAGGACTTTGCTGGCTGATGGACGTTGCCAGCACGGAATGCTTGATTGGCATTGCCACATTGCCACTTGCCAAGAGCCGAGGTGCAGCATGCTGGTTTTCGAGTATGGCCTGGGGACTCTGGCAGGTCTTTTTCAGCAGGTGCTGCCACCAGGGGAAACTCGCTGCAGTCCCAAAGTGTTCAAGCAAGTCCTGCAAGCGTTGCCGGAGAATCCGCTGCGAGGCAGCAACTAAAGGCAGGTTGCCAGCCAGTGTTGTCCCATGCTTGAGAAACCGTCTTGCTACTCTTGGTTCGAAAGCTTCTGAACCTCCCAGCCCTCTGCTACAGATCTACAGTATCTGCAGGTTGGTGGCGGGCTTTAGCTTTCAGACATGACAGCTGAGGTATGGCCCAAGTCTCAGCCACCAGCAACTGGAGAGCCTTGTGGTCAGCCACTTGCCGCATTACGCAAGCAGTTGAATTACTTTTCGGGAGTCGCGGAAGTGAGAGACGACTTGTGACACTCTCGAGACAAAACCGCAACCACTCCTAAGACCGTTGTCCGGTCTTGCCTTGTGCCGGGTGGTTGTCACAAACCAGCTGTCCGTTTCTGCTCAGTTCCCGGGGAGTATTAGGAAGTCTGGATCTGGGTGACCCGTGCGGATTGAAACAGAAAAAAGTTGGCAGCTGCTGAGGTCTGGAATTGGATGATGAGGGGCTCTTCAACTACCAGGACTACCTCGCGGGCTTTCAGATCATAGACACTGAGCGCCGGTGACGAGGCTTTGGGCATCCAATGCGATGCCCCCGCGTTGCTTTTCAGCTGTGGCGGTTCTCAAGCTGACGACCTCACGATCGCAAAAGCGGCGATACATGGATCACAGCCGTTCATTTCGGGATTTCCTTGCTTACCGGGGTTTCTTCTTGAGGTGGTCGAGTTTGCTGCTGTGACTTTGGGGTCCGACACATCGAGTGCGGGAGGCATGTGTGCTTGCAAAGCATTTCTGTTACTGGGCTTGGGGATTTGGCAAACATTGCAGGTCATGTGCCCTGGCCTGCCTGGTCCGCATAAGCTTTAAACCCCACAAAAGCCCCTGACCGCAGGCTGCGATACCCCATGCACAAGCGGAGTCATCAACCGCCCTACCCTACCGCGGCGAAGGGCTGCCCCTGCTTTCCCAAAGTGTCGCCACAATAGACTACGTAGAAGGTACTCCTTGCCACCTCTCGTCTTGCTCAACGTCTCCGCAAAAAGCATCATGCACTCCACGACAAGAGTTCCAGAAGCGTGTCGTACAAAAGAGCTACACAGAACGAGCACAGAAGCAATCGCAGTCAATGGGTCCTTTCTCCCATTTACATGTTCCAGTCGTCTGAGCCATGCGGAGATGTTCGCAGATTGGCTGAAGATGCCAGGGCCAGTGCTCATGGAGCCACGGCCAACATGAGCGAGCTATGAGTATAGAGCTGAACGAGTAGCTCTGCTTTGTTGGCAGATCTTTTTTTTGGGAAGTTGATGCTACATGTCGCCGAGCACATTTTCCGCGAACTCTCGGACCACTCAATGGACCGAAATCCGATCTAACCAAGGCAAGTCCTCGCGCTTTCGCTCGGAGGTTCAGGCCTGGCTGGTAGGGCCAAGGGCCAAGGCGCCAAGGCAGGGCCACGGGCAACTCCCCAAACCGGGCAGGTCTTTGCGTGGTGGCTTGCGCTGCGGTCTGCTGCTGTCGCGACTTCGTCCGTCGAAGCCGACACTCTGCGAGCATATTGGGGGATTGGGGGTCTGGTGGAGCCAGTGAGCAGGTGCGTTGGGTCGCAAAGCGCAGCATGCGACGGCAAAGCAAGCACGGTGGGCTGAATAGATGTTGCGATGAAAAGAGTGCTGCAGCCCCATCTAGGCTCGAGTTTAGAGCAGGCGTTGCTAGAGGGGCTTGCGCACGAATCGAGTACACCATGGCAACCGAGACAGCAAAAAAGACAGAAGTACCACAGCACAACAGGGACTTTAGGGCCAGAGTCGCGGTCGTGATGGAGGCTGCGCCATGGAGCCTAGCGCAGACCAGAGAGGAGAGCGCTGCTGTGCCCTCTGCGATGCCACTGAAGCAATGCATGCTCGAAGCCAACATAGCACTCCAAAGCCAAGGCCACGGAGAAATGTTTGTGAACTTGACACGGTGGTCGGTGTCCACGAGGCCGACCTCTGCCACGCCCTCCCTGGCAGCGGCCCAGTCCCAGTCCAGGCCCCCATCCGCAAGCAAAGAGGCATCTGAGTCGGCATCAAGTCCCATGAGCAGCGGCGCGGAGCCACGGAACTTCGCACAGAAGATTCCTGAAATGCCGCAGGCCCTGTCTCAGGAATTGCAGATTGAGGAAGACTACAGCGAGGACACCGCATTGGAAGAGGCCATCGAGCGGATGCGTGCTGGCAGGTCTTTCACTGCCCGCGGTGCTCGCAGCGGGAGGACTCCCAGCCCGGCCCCGGCCGGCCCGGCCCAGGGCAGGGCCCCGGCTGAGGCAGCTCGGGCTCGGGCGACAAAGAGGGAACCTTGCGAGGCCGAGACAAGCGGGCCGAGCACCACAGCCAGACCACAGCGGCCGGGCAGCCAAACTCGGCCGAGGTCTGCAGAACAAAAGCTTCGGACGGGACCCAAAACTCCGCAGACAGGCCGAGGCACATCCAGTTGCTTCGAAGCTCGCTCCAAACGTCCTCGCTCGGTAGGTGGGATTCGATGCGAGCAGGTCATCTCCCGGCATCTGCCAGAGCGCGAGGTGCAGTCGAGGATGATCGCCGTGTTGGCCAGGCAGCTGGAGCGCTTGCGCGGCTGCATTCCAGACTTCGCTCTGCAATGGCAAGCGGTGGAGATACATTTGCAGAATCTCGAAGAGAAGCTGCAAGCCAAAAGACGAGAGGTGCTGGCTTGGGAGGAGGACACTCGGATGATGCAAGAAACGCAGGATCAACAGTACCAACTTCTCCTGCGCGGCCTTCAGCGGAAGGTCGATGACGCCAGAAGCTCTTGGCTCAAGCAGCAGCTGAAAATGGAAGCCTCTGCTCGAGAGGAATACGAGCTGCACAAGGCACTCGTTGCGAAGGATGAAGAGGCCAAATCCTTGAAGGATGTGCTGAAGAAAACATGGGAGCAGATGGAAGATGTCCAGCAGATGGTGCTTCAAAATCAGTCCGTCCTAGAAGCTCGTCTTCAAGGAAATTGGTCCGTCGATGACCCAGCAGAAGACCCCACCGCCGCTTCTGAACGGCGACACATGGATGCAGAATTGCACAGGCAGATTGAGGTTCGCGGGCAGCTGAAGTTGTGCAACGCTCAGCTCCAAGAAGCCGACAAGGCGATGTCAGAACAGCATGCCTATGCAGCGCGCTTAGAGGAGTTCATCAGGAAAATTACAGGAGGAGGGGGTCGTTATGTTTTGCCCCCCGCTTTAAAGCGCGAAGGGCAGCGACATGTGGCGATGGCCTCGAAAATGAGGGCGAGAGCTGAGCAGGAGGCGCGGCGCCGGGAGAATCTTGAGGTCCTGTACTAGGGCCTCAGCCCGGATGGTGTGTATTGATACAGTAATTGCGCAGCGATTGCGCGCAGTCACGATGACCAAGGCTGCTTTCAATCCGTGGTGTGTGTAAGGAAGCGAGATCGGTTCATGTTGTCATTGTGTGTCCGCTTGATCAGCTGGAGTCATTGATGACTTTGAAATTTTGGATGCCCCACGCACCCGCGCAACCCGGCTGAAATCAGCAGGGTTGCGGTCATCCGCCTAGAATATTGATTGTACGACCTGTGCTTTTCACACCAGGCTACACACTATACTCATACTGTGTCAGAAGGGCTGTTGTGTATCGAAGATATTTGCGGAGACAAATTCGTCAGTCCTCGAGCTGGCCAGGCCCCCCTTTGTCGCAGAGTTACCGTCAAACTGATAGGAAACATGTCGCCAATGGTTTCTTGGTAATGACTCGCATGGCTGTGAATAGGCGAAACCCAAGGAAGTGGTGAGATTTCCTGCTTGTATGCATCCAGATGCATCCAGGAAACGTTCTTGTTGCGACAAACAGGTTGCAGAATTGATGAGCGAGGCAGCTTGCACATCTACGTCCAGATGTTAGAAGAACGACGAGCTCAAACGGAAAACAGACACAGATCACGGATGTGCGAGCAAGTCTTCAACATGGAGTTTCCACGCCTGCGTCGTCTTAGATGGCGTCAAGGCGCACCGCCATCATCGAAAGTGCTCCGAATCCACATTGAAGCTGTGCTTCTTCACACCTTCAGCTGCAAGCACTTGCGCAGCATGGACAGTACCAATCAGTCGGCGATGGAAAGTAGCAGTTGGATTTGGAGCGTCGCACGTTTTGTGCATACCGACACTCAAAGGCAGTGCCAGCTTGAATTCGCGCGGTGGTTTGTGGGATCATAAACAATGGCTGCCATGATCCTTACTGGCCTTCTTCTTGTCGATTAGTATCGTTCCACGTCAAATAGTATTTGTGCTGAGGCCTGCGGGAGCTTGCCGCAGAGCCTGCTGCGACTTGGCTGGGAGATCCAAACAACGTCTCGTGCAAGAGTTTACCAAATGCCCTACATAACAAACAGTGAGCATGATTTTCCGGCACTCTTTCGGCCTTGAGTTGTGCATGGATCGCAAGGGTGAGAAGCCTGACGAGTGTCAGGAGGAAAGGGCCGAGCCCGCAGATCAAGGCCTCACCCGAGTCCTGATCACGGGCTATCAGGCTCCGATCCGTGGCTTGGCACAATGCACACGTCAGTGCATTTTAGGATTGTCTTGCAGCCTTAACGTCCCAGCATGCTTGAAAGAATTCGGGGGTACCTGCTTCCAATTGCACTGATGTCCTAAGTTTCAGCAGATTGGAGCAATCGAGGCCGTCTGGACCCCTTTGCTTTCCGGAAGACCAAACCCAAGGGGAACAACGTGCAGGCCAACTACGACAAGGTAACATCTTCCGGAGAAGACCAGGTGGATCGCCTGGTTCGCGCCTACGGCTCGCTGGCCGCTGAAATCGATCCCGAGGATCGTCTGAGGCTGCTGCAGCCTAGGGAGAGGAAGGACTCGAAGCCTCAGTCCATAGCGAAGGGTGCTCGAAGCTTGGAAGTAGAGCATGGAGAAGCTCCTTCCCGCCAGCCGCCCAGACCGCCGCAGCCGGAGCCTAAGACGTCCTCCACACCCTCCAGGCCCTCTGCATGGAGGGTCAGGGCCGAAGGCCAACAGACGGCGTCCAAAGCATCTCAGGCGGCATCCCACGCCCTCCAGCCGCTCCAGCCTCAAGCAAAAGAGGAGGCTACAGAGGATCGGATTCCACCCCAAGTGCTGGGCAGGCCGAGGGAGGCAGCGGCCACAAGCCTGGACACTGTCTCGGAAATCCTTCGGCACATTGAGCTTCCAGCCCCAGCCCCGCCCGCGGCAGCCCCACCAGTGAAGCCGACAGCCCCTCAGCCTGAGACCCTGGAAAGCGACGAATCAGCCGCGGAAAGCGACGAAGCTACAGCTGTGCGGTTGCGGGAGGACAAGTTTGATGCACTGGATGCCGAGCTAAACGAACAGCTAAACCAGTCTGTTGGTTTGGCCCTAGAGTCAAGGACACTGCACAAGTCAGTCGCTGGGCTGCCCAGAAGCGGTAGCCATGGAACCCCAACAGGTTCAAAAAAGTCGAAGGCCAAAGGCCGCAGCAAAAAAGCTGCAGCACCAGAAGCGACCCGAAGCTGAAGCTGAAAACCAGGCTTCCGAAAAGGTCCGACGATGCCAGAGTATGCCTGACGCCTACTCAGCCTGCACTGAGACGTCTGTCTTTCTGCGGCAAGCTTTGGTTCTGCGAAGAACTCAGACACAAGACACGCACAGCATGGAATGAAAAGCACCATGTGACTTTTGAAGACCTCTGAGTCCGCTGAGTGGCCATTCGAACAACTTCGCTTCAGGACAGAATGCTGCCTCTGAGACGAGGAGGTAACTACACACGATCCACACGGTCACTGCCTAATGGCCGATGCCACGTTAGACCCCTAGCCCCTTCACTGGGCTGGACATGGCAAAGAGCCTTGTCTAACTGCAGAGTTCAGGCTGTCAAGGCTTACAGGCAAGACCCCTGGGACAGCTCAGGAAGCGCAAGAGCAAAGCGTCGCCGGCCTCGGTTTCTCAGAGCCCGAAGTGTCCTGACAGAGTCAGAGCCCTTTTTGCTCAAGGTCTGCCGCGGAGGCCCAGGGCGAGGCCGAGGAGAAGGGCGCCTCGGAAGCAATGCCAAGCTGTGCAGAGTCGGCTCAGTGCCCGTGGTTTTGGGCTTTCGAGGCACGACGGAGACGGAGCCTGCGAACAAGAAAGGAAAGTATCGGAAAGATAAGCCGTGGGATCACGAGGGGATCGACCACTGGAAGCCGGTGTGCCTTGGCTTGGCCGGCACACGGTCGCTCATGTCTGCACATGTGAGCGTTGTTCTTTTTGGTGGGTTCTCTTGACAATACTAGGAGGGCGATTAGCAACAGCTCGGTCGCTTAAAAAGTGCACACCCTTTCGATCGCGCGCAAGGGCGCGCAAGGGCGCGCAAGGGCGAGCGCAAGCTGTGCTCAAGGCTTGTTGTTAAAATGGTTCAAGAGTGATGCTCAGCAGCGTTGTAGGTAGATGCAACTAAGCAACCGCAGGACGTGGGGTGGTGTTGGGTTTGCTTGAAAGTTACACGGGTTAGCTTTGGAAGGTTCAAGTTCTGCCCCTGAAGCCTATAAACCAACTTCTTGAGCCTTGAAGCCCCAGTGTTTTACCCGCAGCCGAAGCTTAGACTCGAAGCCACCAGGGGTCAACAAGCGACTGTAGCAAACCGGGTTCGAGAGCCCGAGAGGTCCATTGCGAAGGAGGATGCGCCTTCTGGTGGCTTGCTTCTCGAGGAGAGCTCCTTTGCCACGCTGTTTCCACAGTACAGAGAGCAGTACCTGAAGCACCTAAGCGGCATCCAAGAACCTTGGAGCTTCCTTTCGGCACCTTCTCACTGCTTGAAAGGCAGGTCTGGCCTGATGTTCGGAAGGTGCTCGCAGAGCCACGTGGCTGCACTCTTTCCCGCTGCAGGCCTTGTAATTTTGGCATGCGCCGAGGCACGAGCTCGCAGCAGATCTGAATCTGGTCGAGGGCTCCATGACTGTGAGAACCACAAAGAAGACGTGGGATCCGTACATCATCATCAAGGTACTCAACTCAAGCTGTACAGCCGCAGCTGCGTGCTTCTTGTTCAGTTCGAGGGCTGCCTGGGTTCTTCAAGGGTCACAGATTCAGATTCCCAGATTCAGACCCTGCAATGTGTATCAAACTTGCGGCGTGCTTTCCAGCAGCAAAAGATCTGGAGTGAGCGGGTGGGCCACAGCTCGCACAGGCTCGGGACATGATCAAGCTCCTCGCTCGCAGTGTGCCCCTGCCACAAGCGCAGAAGATCTTGGACGATGAGGCACCCTCGATTGCAGGACAACGCAGATACGCGTGCGACATGGGATCAGCAGAAAAGGGCTGCTGACCACTCCCATCTCGCAGGTCTACTGCGACATTCTCAAAATCGGCGGCAGCTTGCTGGAATTTGCTCACCGGGGAAGTTTTTCAGGAGAAGCCTTGAGTCGTCCTAGGGAGGTACTGTACAAGGCGGTTCCGGCATGATTGGTGCATGCTGTAGGTTTGGGCGAAGTGCCACCAGTGCTGTGCTTGTGCCCGCAGCGGATGGAGGGGGCGCATTTCCAGTATCATGCAGGGGTGGGGGGGGTTGTCGTAAGTCGTGGTTGTGTCGGTCTGCCGACTCCGTCATGTATATAGATTTTCCCTAGATTCTCCCTTCGAGGGGTAATATCAAACACTGGCCCGAAAGAACTTCAGCTTTCAGGACGGACTTGTTTAGGGGCGGCTAGCGCTTCTTGGACACTGGATGTAACTACCAATGAGTGAACGGCTACGGTCGTTTTAATGTAAGTTTCATCGTGCCAAGTCACAAGCAAACTTAGTGAGAATTTTGATGGATAGGGTAATCGTGTTATATCGTGTTAACGTGGGTCAGAATGGTGTAGAAGCAGTAGAAACGCCGGAACTGAGGTCTCGTTCGCTCCAAGGAGCGCTTCGTGAAGCGAAGGCAGCGCTTGGTCGGGCCAAACGGTTCCACACTGAAGGCCTGGCTAATATGGGTAGTTTTCTAAATTAGGGTCCCTTTTTAGGTCCGCAAAATAGTACGGCACCCTTAAAAGGCCCCCAAGGGGGCCCTAATTTAGAAAACTACCCATGTGCGTGCGACGTCAACAAAAGTTCACCGGTTGATTTTATTTGATTTCTTTGCTCTCTTCCGTTCTGGATTGTGGTTGCTGTGGTTGTGGTGGTTGTGGTCGTCGTTGTCGTGTATGCTAGGGCCGCCAGGATAAGGCCGACAGACTACAGTCTAGACCAGTTTGAATTGACCAGGTTGTCCTCATTGCTGTACAGTCCAGGCAACCAATTTCATCAGTTGTAGCACAAACAAATAGTCATGCACAAGGGGGCACCTTACCTCCTGAAGTTAGCTATGTGCCCAAGTCGTCATGTTTGCACATGGTTGAGATCGTCGTGAACACGTTTGGTTTCGAGCCCTTACACATTCCCATGTAAGTTGCCAGCGTTTGGTGAGTCAAACGGACCAGTCAACGAGGAAACGTTTTTCACTCAACAGCACGCAAACTGTAGACGTTTGTCCTCACGTAAGTGGCCAGTGTTTGGTGAGTCAGACGGAGTCAAAAAAGCTTGTTGAACAAGTGAGGCCATTGAGCTGCTGACGCAGTGCTTCGTGCTGGTTCAGGGGCAGACTGTCTCTATCATGGGATCCGTGAAGGGCATCAAGCAGGCCGGCAAAAGAACGCATGCCGGTCGTGATCTCGATAGGAATTCCTGCTCAAGTCAATGATGGAAGTGGGGCATGGGGGAAGGTTCGACGCATCGTGGAAGACTGCTTTCGCAACATCCACCCGCTACCCGCCCTTGTGAGTTGTGGGACGAAGCATCTTGTCGTTGAAAAGCCCCTTTTGGACCTTTAAGGATCTATCACATCAAGGAGTTGATGATACGCCGGGAGCTGGAGAAGGAGTGGCCCGGCTTCTGCCTTCTGCGTGTTTTGGAGTGCAGTGCAGGACCCGGAGCTGCAGAACGAGAATTGGGACCGATTCTTGCCACATTTCAAGAACCGCAACGTGCAGAGAAAGAAGATGAAAGACAAGAAGGCACTCAGAGCTCCGGGCTGTGCTGATGTGGTGACTTCATCTGGTATAGGCCAAGAAGAAGAGCAAAGACGTCTTCCCTCCACAGCCTACCCCCAGAAAGGAGGACCGGATGGTGCATCATTCAGCGGTCGGTTCGCGGCACCGCCGGCTCTTGATGTGCAGGATCTGCAGATGGAGTCTGGCGAATACTTCCTTAACGAGTCCTGGCAGTATAGAGTAAGGTCAGTATCGATGTATTGGCCGCAGTTGAACATACCATCCAGTCTCCTTCATGCGCCTGAGCCGCGGAAGCCATCCACCCGAGGAAAAGGAGAAGCAACTCCGTCAGAGAGTTGCCAAGCGCGAGGTGAGCCACCAGAGTCTGCAGCGTTTTTCGATGTACTCGTCATCTGGTTTTGTGATACATAGTGGAGTACCCTCCCCACATGCCTCAGCGAAATGAGAACATAGTGATCTGGCTCTGTGCCCAGATTGCCCAAAAGTCTTCGGTGAAGTAGGGTGAACTTAATTGACGTATAATTAGTCGGTATAGTCGTCGTAGCCACCTGGCACTCCGGGGCTGTGAGTGTAACACCAACTCCCCTGTGTTATGAGCACGAAGTATCACGAAGTATCGACCCGCCTGAGGCGCAGCAGGCGAAGAGCGCAGAAAAGCGAAGAGAGCGCGCAAAGGTCCGCGCTCGGCAGAATCGTCTCTGACGGCATGTCGATGCTTTTGTTGGGAACCTGGAAAGCTGTCGTTGGGGTCACTGTTGGGGCTGTGGAACTCTCACTGCGTCACTTAAACTGACAGAAAGGAACGCTGTGATCGCCGAGTCTGAACCACCGGTTTCAGCTGGCGCCCTTTCCGAAGTCATGGGGCATGGGGTGAGGAGTTCGAGCCGCCCGCGCCTGCCAAAGCCAAGAAACGGAAGGGGCAGGATGCTGGCGAGACGACGCAGGAGACTTTCCTAGGTTTTCCTCCTCTGGGACTTCCCGGGGCCCGCAAGGATCGATTGTTAGCCACTGCGAAGCTTACGGTGCCTGGTTGTGAGGAGATGGCGCAGCGCTTGGCCAAGAAAGCCAAGGCCAAAGCCTCTGTGCAGGCTTTGTTATTGAGAAGTTCCTTTAGTATTTTGTGTCTTTAAGCTTTCTGTCATTAAGAAGTTCATATAATGTCATTAAGTTTAGTACATTGAGCCTTGGATCCACTTTCTTGTGCTGCTGAAGTTTCATGGAAATTTCTTGCGAAGATATTTTCTCCCAGAGCCGTGGAATCCCCAGGCTGCAGCATGCAAAGGATCTCATGGATCTCGATGTTTGGTCGCTGTGGCAAGGGTGGGTGGCCCTGAAGTTGTTGCTGTACTTAAGCTCCATTTATAGCTCCGAGACCAGCGCGGCCGAATGAATGTACAAACTAGGAAGATATGGGAATATCTGTTCGAATTGCCGGCAGAAGCTTATCACATCCTTGGGGCTGTCACTGGTTCTACGACTTCTTCACACGTTTTGCAAGTTTATGCAGAAGTCCAGCAGGGTTGTGTAAAGGACTTCCGCAGTCCACTACATATGCTCCACTTCCTGATGCGCCGGCAGAAGCCACAAACCTCTTAGAATTATGGAAGCCCACCTCGTCTCGAGCGTCGATCTCGCCAGGAAGCTCAGCCCAAGAAGCAGCGCGCAAAGTCTGAGCTGCTCCTGTAGACCTGCAGCCGCGGAGCTGTCGACAACAGCCGAAAGACAAGCAGCGCGACCTGTGACTCATCTCACCCCTGCCGGGAGGCTGTTTCAAGAGCTCCCGGCAACAAGGTGACATAGACCATGTCGTTGCCGTCCGGAAGACACAGCTTCAGCTCGCAGCATGGGTTCTACAACCAGCATGGAAGCAACGTGCGCATTCGGCTAATCTTAAACGTCTCGGCATCGTGGTCGATTGACGTGTCTCAGGTGTGCTTTCTCGAACATCTGGCTTGTGAAAGGAACGATGATATCCCATTGCCACACCACGTTGCAGGAGCGGAAACATCTGAAGCCAAGCTTTTGATATCATTGGACTTTCCCCCCAAATCACTGGAAACTTGCCTTTTGGCATCAGTGAAACACAGACATTTTCTGCTGAGCCAGAGCGGCGATGGCTCCGCGGGAAGGCGGCAGCCCCATGCAGAATTGGGTTGGACGGGGGCAGAGAGGTTTGTGCAAAGCATGCAGAAGTGGAATCTGGGGGCACTTCGCTTCTCACAGGGAAGCTCGCAGAACTGAGCTGCAGGCTTGGGCAAGATGCGGCTCGGAAGAGTGCCGGTCCGAGCTGATCGTGCCACCGGCCAGTGCACAGCGGCAGGGCCTTAGATGCAGTTGGATGTTGGGCCAAACAATCGCCTGAGGCCGGTCTGGTGGCTGCCGGAGCCAGTGTCCTCCTCATGTGTTCTGTCGCAATCAGGACGGACAGCCGTGCGAGAGAGCATTTAAATTTGCAGGCATGACTTTTCCGCTTCTTCTCGTTGATGTCATGTTCTTGCAGGACGACAGACAGCATCAAAGAAGGTCTGAGCTTTCTTTGGCCTGTCAGCTTCTGCCTCCAACGTCTTCCACATCTTAGTGATAGACAGGAGGTGCAGCGGGCAAGATTGGAAATTGCGGGAGGGCTGAGTGGGCGCCTTCAGGGTGGAAGCGGAAGTCGTGGTCCATTCAGCACGGTTTTCCATCGACCAGTGGCCACCCTTTGGTCTAAACACCAAGTCCACTTGTCCGCTGCCTCGCCTGGATTCTCCGAGTGCGAGCGCCGAAACCCCGAAGGCATTTAAAGGCCCTAGGGCCCTCCTCGTGGAGTGCATTTGAGCGCCCAAAGACTTTGCAGTTGCGAACGATTCACGCCGCCCAACTTCCATCGAGGCGCCAGCCCTACGAAGGTCTCCGCAGCGGTCTTCGCGGGTCCATGGCGGCTCTGCCTTGTTGTTTTGGGGCACAGAAAGGATGGGAAACGATCCGAGAATCCGAGGAGGCTCCCTGGTCGTGCCCTTGACCGCGGCCGGTGCCTCCCTGGTCGCGGTGAGCGTGCTCCGAGTCTCTCGGAGCAGAGTGGTCACGAATAGGCTCAGGGACTCACCGGGGGCCTGTGCCATTTCAGGCTCGCGGCCCGAGTCGGGCCCGGACGGGGACGCTGCGGCGAGCTTTGGAGGACGAGGGGAAGCTCGGAAAGGCGATGGCCGAGGGAAAGCTGGAAAAGGCGATGGCCCTGAATCCCAAACCTGGTGTAGTCCATTGCGGTCTTTGTACTTTGAATTGAAGCTGAAGTTCTCGCCCGGTTGTTCCGGTAAAGATTGATGAGAACGCAGTTAGGCTTCGATTCGCAGGGTAAGAAGGCTCGGCCTACGTCCTAGGTGCCTCTGAAGAAAAGGCTCAAGAGCTCAAGTTCGCGCCCGGCCTTATCTCCCAGAGCCATGGCGGTGCTGTCGATGTTGGCGCTCGTGTTCCCTCTCCTGTCGTCAGCCCAAGGTGGAGACTACATGAGCCAGTATGCCGCGCCTTACCAACACTACATGCAGGGCGGGTCCGGCGGTGGCTCGGGTTACCAGCAGTACTACAAGAAGTACATGTCGCAATACGGCTCCGGTGCTGCCGGAGGCTATGAGAAGTACATGTCGAAGTATGCCGGCGACTACGCCAGCAAGTACATGCCGTCCGGGTCTGCGGACGCTTCCGAAGACGCCGGGAAGCCCGTAAACTTCGCGGCAGCTGAGGATGGAAGCTCCACCGCCAAGTCCAGGAAGGACTCGCCAAGCGATTCACAGAACGGAGCCGGCTTCCAGAAGTACATGGATTACTCCAAGTACACGCAGGGCCACGGCTCCCAGGGCTCGCAGGCAAGGTGGCCCCAAAGCATGGACTTGGAGAGTTCTAGCGCGCGCGGGGAGTGAGGCGTGCTTGGGAAGGATACGGCTACTGCTGATTAGTTCTGATGTGATCGGGCGAGGGGATAGGTCGGACATGTGTAGTGACTGTTAATTGGCTCTCAAAACTGTCCTTGACTTCAGTCTTGAAAGACAGATCGCGACTGGGTTGTTTCGGGTTTAGACGGTTATGAATGGGGGACCTTGGTTGCAAAGCTGAGTTGTGGCTTTCGTGATGGCGTCTTTCGGCGGTGGCACAGTACGGGGCGGCATATCGGTTGCATGTGTCGTGGATTTTGGATGTGCCCTGTGACGCCTCATCGCTGTTTGCAATGTGCTTCAAGAGTGAACCTTGTCCTTGTGATCCTTGCCTGCTTGTTGCAACACGAGTCGAAACAAATAGCCCTTCACCTCAGCTGGTTTGCCTCCCCCCCCCTTAAGGCAGGTTGGGCTGTCCCATAGGTCCAAGGCTCAGGACGTGTGATGTTGTTGTCAGGAGCTTTGGTCTACAAGTGTATATTGGGGATTGCAGGTTTTAGGGCTTAGGAAGGTGGCCGCCCGGGTTCGGGAGTGCACAATCGCCAAGCGATCGCGCATGTCCGAGCTGAGTGATGTATATGATGAGTCATTCTGAGATAGGGTGTTTCTGACTAATTAGAGGATATAGAAGCACTCTTTTTCCCCAAGCTTGCTTGCAGGGTGGTGACTACAAGACCGTTAGCCCTGAATGTTTTACTGGC